GTAGAGAAGGAATTGCAGTAAAGAGTTAGCTCTAGTGCTCTAATCTCCTCCCACCCCATGTATTACAACTTTAAAGGCATAACTCTGTTTTTGTGAGATTGAATTATGAAGCCTGAATTCTAGAGGTCCCATTTAGACCAGGATCCTAACATAATGAAGACTACATGCATACATATCATTAAACCTGTACCCTAAGCACATAGTGTATTGTTAAAATATACATGGGGAGGGAGGAAAGGGGAAGGACAGCAGAGAAGGGAAGCTGATAAAGTGACATACAAGAATCTCAGCAACTCACTATCCGTGCAGGAAATGGAGCCCCAAACCTTATTCTAAGGCTTTGCTTGTTAGGCTAGAAGAGCTTCACAAGGGAGACTACATCTCTGAGAATTTCAATAGCTCTGTAAGAAAAATTGACTTTAATTTTCTTCTCCCTTTGATCCTACCTGGAACTACTTTCTAGTGCAAAAGCCACACTGAACTTTCTCACTCTAATATAATACAGTATTTACTCTGTGTGTATAAGCATTACTAAGTGTGCCTGCACTTCTACTTCTGAAGTTTATTTGATTGTTTCAAAAGCTTTATTTGCATCTCCAATTCAGTATATGAAATCTAGCTTTTCTCTTCCTACTCTGACCTTATTCCACCCCCATATACATCAACTGACAGATGAAATCTTCACACATGTTCCCTGTGCAGGAACAGCAGCCTAGTTGTTATTGTGAGAGGAATTCAATATCTATGGAGAATGAAGATTTCAAAAGGATGAATGAGAATTTGTACCTCAAATTGCATTTTCTATTAAATAGTAAATTTTCCCCAAATAGAATGACCCTGAATATAAGATGATCTCTGATTTTTGTGTGCATACATTTTAGCACTGAGAGGAAGCTTATATTTTGCCTTCTCTCTCCACTCCCACCTGCACTCCTCACTCATCTACCTCCTCCTAGACATTGTATCCTTCAGCCAAGTCTTCTACCTTATGTTTCCTGACCTTTCCTCCCTCCTATTGAACATCTCCACTGAGTCCACTTTATATAAACCTGTTCTGTCCCAGACCGCTCCTGTGTCTTAAACTGGACAGCGTTAAGCTCCTACTCCTGCTAACTGTCTGAAAGTGCTGTAGAAGAGGTACTGGTATCATTGCCTAGCACTGGTGCAAGCCCCACCAGATGGCTTCCTTGTGCATGAATCGTTAGCTCCCAAACCATCTTCTCCTTACTCTTTTCAGTGAGAATATAAGGTGACATTTAAATATAATGTGAAGTGTGATTGTTTTAGGTCACCTTGTGGGTGTGTGCAAGTGAACAACACCCAAATTACTTATCTAAGTATGAGGCAAGCTTGCTTGGTTTAGAGTAAACTGGAGCAAGGACTAGAATCCACCGCTGTAGAGGTCCCTTAGCTGTTTGGCAAAAGATGCTGGTCCATTGTTGTGTTTCTCCTGTTAATCATTTCATAGAAGAACTTCAATAGGAGGAGTTTGAAAAAGTCCCACACCAGATTATTTCTCTTTTGAAAAGGGTTTTCAACTAGGAGATGGGAGACCAGCATGCTATGTGGCATTTCTATTTGATAAAAAACAATTGATACATCTTGTTTTGTGTAAGACTGTATACTATTTTTAACTTGAAAGGAGTACAGGAGAGGATGTTTAGTCTGTGAGTTGCTGGAAATGACAATACAGGAATAGTTTTGGGGGCATAACCAGAAACAGCCATTTAGCTACCTAGTAAAATGAGATTCTTTGAGATGTCAGTACTATATAAGATCTGAACCCGATAGGCTTGAACCACTGGAGAAGACCAAGCTACTAAATGGGAATGGGCATAGCCTTAGCCATGCTCATAACAGGGACCACCATAACTGTCTTTTAGCTTTAGACCAAGCATAAATGGTTGGATATGAACACAAGCATGGCCATGCCTACATGGCCTGACTCTGTTGCATGCAGCTCACAATATCCTGAAGCGGCAATCTGCAGCATAGGCTGACCTATCAGCCTATGTTTTTTTGCTTAAAGGGATCTCACATGCATCATAGGATATATAGGTTGTCAAGCTTTTGCTGGAGAGTAAGGGGAGCATGCTCTGATGACAGCAAGTGCCATACGGTTGCTCATACTCTCTGGAGAATAGCTTACAGTGCAATGTTGGTGTTTTAGGAACTTCTTGGGACAGCAACAGAGAACTAGTATCTCAGATTCCAAATTTTAGGCTCAATCAGTGCAAACAACAGTAAGTACCACATCGTTTGATGGAACCAGCCTTAAAGAGCCTAGCTCTTCTGGAAGAGTTTTGGTCAAGGCCCTTTGAAAGTGGGATTTGTATCCTTAAAGAACGTATTTTATAATAATTTTACCCTGCTCCTTTTCTACTGGACTGTTTTTTTAAATTCCTGTAAGAAGTTATCCTTCTTTCTTAGTCACAATTGTAGGCCTCAACTTTCAGATAGAATAACTTGGCAAAGAGATTGGCCTCACTGAAGGGCTGTGGATCTATACCAGCTCAAGGCGTAGCTAGCAGTTCTAACATTCACAGGCCTGAGGTTTTACAGAAACTGTATTCTTGTCTCTGCAGATCAATGCCTATTGAGACTGATAATAATGAGAATGCTTAGGGTTATTACTATCTCTAAATAATATATCAGCTATGGCTAACAAATAGCTTCACTGCAGTCTAATAGCTACTTATTATCATAACTGAAACAAATTAGAAGGTTGCTAATTCACGTGCTCAGAAAAATGAGCAGTTAAGATGAGAAAGATGAATGAGATTTCCAATTTACCTATTTTGTTAGGGGATAAACAGATATATCATCACAATTAATGTGTCTGATACTAATTAAAAACAATGTTTGCAAAGACCATTTCCAATGTAATTTTACATTTGGTTGGCTTGTACTAGACTAGAGAGGCTTTCAAACCTATGAGCTACTTTTTGCTTTCCTAGTTCCTCTCTCCTCTGCTTTTGTGTTTATGATTCCTAACATCATTGTGCTGTACGAAGTAATGCTATGTGGGATATAGCTAATGGTAACAAGGATTTATTTTTAAAAAACACTTCTTGTGTAATACTCTATCCCAAATTACTCTACATAGTAATTTAACTCAATAATAACAAAAACTACATTGCATGAATGAAGGAAAACAGTGAACTAAGTCATTTTCTGTAACTGAATGAACCAGTAGAAGCATTAGGATGGATACCAGGGCCGGGGAGGGGGGGTGTTAAAGCACAAGTTGAGTAGATAAGACGTACCTTCAGATACATTAATCCTTAGGATATGTTATGCAGTAAATATCAAATGTGAGAGTAGGTCCTTAGCAAGCGTAATATGTAATTGACATCAGATGAATTATGACAAATTGCACAAGCTGAGGATTTGCTACCCCTAAATTTATGTAATTTAGGCTACCTCCTGTACCACAAAGCCTTCAGTTCTGCCTATTCAAAGGTTGATCTGAAGGTCTCCTAGTATCAGGAAACACTGAACTGAAGATTAGCAGACCTAATCAGTATGGAATTGTTTCTTAAATAACGTTAGTCCTGCTTAAACTTCTGATTTTCTTGGTAGACAATATCAGAAGCAGAAAAGCAAGAAGAGGGTTGGGGGTGATCTATTCTGTGAAGAGAGGAATGCTATTGAAATGTTACAGAAACATCAAGGAGGGAAGAAAGCAGATGGCTGCAGAAAATTTTCCAGTGACTGATTTTTTTGGGGTAGAATTTAAAGGCAAATAGATTTTATCTAGATTTGACTGTATGCCAGTTCAACTTGCTTAACTAGTTATATCTTACACAGGACTGATGCAAAGCATGTGGAAGTTCAGAAGAGTTTTCATTGATTTTAATTGGTTCGGATCAACTTTCAAAAGCTCAGCAGCACTTCCCAACTGACAAGCAAATGGCACATTACCCCTCACCAGCCACAGTCTGTCTCCCTGCTTAGCATTATATTTTTATTTTACAGTAAAAGACACTTGATATTGACAATCGAACCACAGAGTTCTCACTACACCAGAGAGCTGGTGAGGAGGAAACTCCTCTACTTAGTTCTGCCAGTCAGTTTCTTTATTGACACAAGTAAGAGCCCTGTTAATATCCTTGTTGGGTAGAAACCCCACTGAGTAAATCTGAAAGGTATCTAAATACTGTAATATTGCCTGAAATCCACTAAAAATACAGCTCCAAATTCATTTTCACTTGTGAGTTTGAGAAGATTGTGAACTTGCTCTTACAAAGAGATCAAGGATTGAATTCATTGAGGCTGCTCTGAAGTCCCTGATTTTGACTTTTAAAATAATTTTTGCTATTTTATATCATACAATTTTGAAATATCAAGGGGGGAAAAAAAGTACTAACACCACTTAAAAAAAATTCTCACACACTTATTCAGTTACTATTTTTACCTGTCAAATTGGCTAGGCACAGAGAATATTCACACTCAGAAGGTGAACCTGGATCTAGTTCAACCTATTTATTTATCTGTTCAAGTGGCAGGGTTTGATCAGGCAATAGGGCAGCCAATTACATCCGGCTAAAAGCAACACTTGCTGTAAGAAATCAGCCAGGAGAAATAGTTATAAGTTATTAGGAAAGAAAGTAGCAGTGAAACATAACAGACTGAAAAACAAGAAAAAAAAGAAAAATACCTCTAACCTAGGAAGATCACGCCTCAGGCATTTGAATATCTGGTTCAGAGGGAACAGGAATAGCCAACAGAGAAGCTGATCTTTGCACCTCTGAGTTAAAAATAGTTAAAGGAGTTCATAAGCAAAGAAAATACAGAGAACGTAATCTTCCGAGGGAACCGACTTGAGAAGCCTAGTGAGAATGGGTTATTGCTAGTGATGAATGAGGGGGATGGGCATTTACTCCCTCACCGTACGTAGAATTCAGTTTAGCTGGAGGAAGTTCTCCTTTCTCTTCTCCTGCAGAGGGAACACGTCTCACTGCTATGAGGCTCTGCTTCACGCTGGATGATTTCTTTCAGCGAGAAACCAGCCTGCGTTGAAAATATGTTTCAGTCTCCCTTCAGGAAAACTCACTGTCTTTGCCACCACTTCTAGGAGAGTAGAAAAAATGAATGGAGGACACCAAATCTCCCTGAAGCACTGGTGAGTTTAGGATTCAGCTGGATAACATCCCTGGGAGTGCAGGCTGTTAGAAAGGCATGAATTTATCATTTTTGGAGAAATATGGTAATCTTGGTCTGCCAAGGTTCTGTCTTCTTTTCTGGCCCTTAGGGCTATTTATTTATTTATTTTTTAAACCTCCCTGGCTTTTTACTAAAACTTTCTGATTCTCCAACTTTTCCAAGTGCTCTCAACTTTGGCTTATATTATAAAGTAACTGCTGCCAGAACACTGAACTCCAGCAGTCTGACTGGTGACTAGGATAAATATGGAACTTAATAACTTAATGGTGGATAACTGACTTTGATGCAGTTTCATCAATCAGACAGAGATAAACAGCTTTCTCCTCTTGCAGGTAGTCTTTTTAAGAAAAAAAGTATTGATTTTTTTCATCAGATAGACATATTAACTAGCAAGACAATTCATTCTTCTGTCTGCATGGGTATTTTGAGCGGTAATTGATTTTTCGGCTCAACATGAAAACAGTCAGTATTGAGTGGTAAAGGGTGGGGTAAGTTTCCTCTTGCACTCAAACCAGAGGCACAGAATTAATATTACAAAAATTGATGAAAAATATAGTTCCGGTTTTTTTTTTTTTCCTAAAACTTTCAATTTATGGCCACAGGAATCCATAGTAGGAGATTAGACACATTAATAAAATTAAAAAAGGAAATATATTTGATTGCTGTGATCTTCCATGAATAAGTCTATCTGTACAGTAACTGGATAATACAACCAACTCAGACGCCTTTGTGATTGATCTTTAAGATTGCCATGGCCCATTTTCACAGTCGTAGAAGTTATCCTCCCTGTCCTTGCCAAATTCAATTACAACTGATAGGCAGAAGAAAACTATCTGTATTTTCCCTGCAGTTTTATCTGGATAAGACTTTACTTTTCATTTCCTGTACAAAATTGTTGTATAATGTTTCTGTGTGCTATTAAATAGCCGCAGTTTTCCATCCTGAAAATTGCAGTATCAGATGAAATGATTTCTGTATTACAGATATGACAAAGTATTATCACAGGCCTTTGAAAGTCCATGGTACTTTGCTGTTTAGGAGTGGGTCTATTTAGCGGATTGGTTCCTCAGCTGAAAAGTGGGAAAATGGTAGGAAAATTCCTTTTTCCTGTTTCAGATGCTCTAGTTTAGAAACTTTGCCACTAATAGCAGAATTCAGCCTGCAGAATCAAAATCACTTGAGAAGGTGCTTAGGCAGGGAGAAGGGAAAAAACGACTGCACTGGAGTTGTAGTGCTGCCAAATGGTCCAAACAGTATAGATAGGTATCTTTTGATGCATTTCTACACATAGCAAGAGATCTCCTTATTACATGGACTTTCACAAGTTTAATATGGAATGACAATTATGTCTTTGGATGAAAAGTTCATCATGTTACACAATAACTATTGTGCTGGCTAGAATTTTGTTTCTGATGCATACTGTGTAGTCTCCATGAAGAAGTAACTGAAAATTGAACTCGGGAGTCCTGGTTCATAGTGTGACCTGGTTGTTACAAAGTTCTTGATTTCAGTACAACTGCATAAACCATACAGTCTACGTTTTTTCAAAGTCATGGTAGATTCTGGTAGCAGGTCCTAGTTTGAAGATAAAACAGTAACTATGGCTGGAGTGTTTCTTGGTTCCCCATCTACTGAAAGAAGCTAGATGTTTCAAATCCTGTTCTTAAATAAGTCTTTGTAAGATTTCAATGGTTTCCAACAGTAAACTTCATATAATCCCTAAATTAGTGTAAAACAGCCTATAATGTGGCTGGTAGCCTTCTCTATTTCTTTCCCATTGGAAGGTAGAAATCTCTTGTTAAAAGCACGACCCTATTATGCAAATTCATCTATTTCAAACATTTTTCTTTCTGTATTTTCAGGATATTTTGTTTTATTTTCTTCAGGGCAAATTATCTCCAAATCCTTTATCAGGTTGTCTTTTCCTGCAAGGAATTTTCAGTGTATTTTAACTCATAGTAGTTAAAATATCTATAATAAGTTACCAGAAATCTTTTGTCTTGAGCTATCACTGTAATGTAGCAATGCACCTTAACTTACTGTATCAAAACCTTATCCTTGTCATAAAATGGTACACCTTGAATAACTGTGCAAGCCAACTGTGAAGGTAGTGCAGAAGCAACTTATGTTGAGATGGAAATTCTGCCAAACTCATGCTGAGTGCAGGGCCAGATTCTGAACACTAGCTCTCAAAGAGCTGAAAGATTTAGGATGCTGAAGAGGAAGGGGAATAAAAAGAAGCCAAGGTGCTGTTCAGTACCACATGTGTTAAGTTAGACCAAAATCTGAATAAGTTAAGAAAATAACCTCTTCTCACAGTTTTTCTGATTCCTTTCACAGGTGGAATAACATAAAGAAAGCAACTCTTTTATAAAAGCTAATAAAAATGCAAGGAATTTTGGTGAGGAAAAAAAAAAGTTAAAAGTTTGCTCATAAATCAGTGGATTTTTCAACTCTAATTGGGAAATGATTTGGTTCACTAGCAAGACAAACTTGATTAATATGGAAAATAGCTCTTGTTTACACAGGGAAGTTTTAATATTAAAAGGCTGTTAGAGATGCAATACCTGAATTTCCACTTGGGGAAATGTATTTTATTTTGTTAGAGTGTGACAATAGCTCCATAATTTCTTCAGGATCTCTAATCAACTCCTGACCTTATTAGAAAGCAACAGAATCATGGCATTTCCAATCCTAAACTAGAACAGTATAGTCATTTGCAAATTTAAGAATTTAAAGAATTTTCTCAAATTTTCTCAAATCTCAGTCTCCAAACCCCGCTCTAAGTGAAACGATGCCTAATTCTTTCAGTATTCAGCCCAAAATAAACTGCTACAAATGCAATAAGTGAAATTTAAGTTGTGAGGGACTTCTTAAAATAGTTTGATCTGAAGAAGTATAATACTAGCCATGCTGTCAGGACTTCAGAATGAACAGTTACTGAATTAAACATTCAAAGGTCTTTTTCTATGTATAATATAGTCAGGAGAGAGCTGAAGGGTTTTTGTGGATCTCTTTCTGATTACAGCTAACGAAAGCTCTTTTGAACTGATGGTAAGAGAGAGTCTTCAGGATAGCATACACTAGCCTGAAGATACCATATGTTAGGCAAGTAGTATAAAATTATTTTCTTCCTGTTCATTAATAAAATTACTTTCAGGATAACAAATTTTTAAAAATTCCTCTGCCAGTGATGTTTTCTCTGACTCACATACATACTTGATACTACTCATCCCTAACAATAAGTAAATAAATAAATAAAAATTAAAAGATAGATTTTGGGATTTCTCAGATCTTTCCCTGGACTATAAATTGCTGTGATATTATCACCTACTGATAAATACCAGATTATAGTAACCCTTCCTGTCGGTTAATGGTTAAGAATCTCTGTCCTGTCCCTTCCTGCAATCAGTTCCAAAGGAAAGTCTGCAGAGGATCTCTTACACACAGGAGGGCCTCTTTGTTGCTTAGAAAAACTCTAGTGCCCAATTTATGAGGTCAAATGAAACCTGCGTTTTATCAGAAGCGTAGCTTTATGTTTGTTTTTATTCAAGTTATACAACACATAGCCACTAGCATGAACATAGAATGGAAGTCTTACCCACATGAAAAAGTCATACATGCAGTCTAGTAGGTGCTCTTTACTTTTGGATTTCCCAAATCTGCTTCTGATTCTAGCAAGTCCACTTAGCATAACTCTCTCTGTATAAACTAGGGCCTAAGTTTCAGGCATAGAAGCGTCAGAAAGGGACTATAGTTCAGCAGCAGATGTACAGCAAGGAATATTCTCAGTTCAGAGGCTATTCCTTTGCATCATACTTGCACAGCAGCTGTATTCCACGCTAGGAAGGCTGGATAGTAGTTATTTCTCTGAGGATTGATTAGAGGAGATTATGCAAGTAGCAATTTCATCGTACAATTACCCCATTATTTAAGTGCTTGCTTTTTATCACTTTAGGGGAGAGGATACCGGAATTTTGTCTGACCTGTGGTTATCACTCTTCTGTTAGTCCCTCAAAGCAGACCACAGCAGCTGGGGATGGGGATGAAGATGAGCAAAGGCTGACTCTGAAGATCAATGGTTTGTAAAAGCTTTGTTTACACATCACCATTTTCACAGGGAAAACAGAAAGGCTATTAGAAAGGAGAAACTCTGTCCCAAATACGCTTAAAATTGTAATACTATCTGACCCTAGGCATCTGACCCCCCAGAATCTGAATAACACCTGCAGACACCAGATCCTGAGTCATGTTTATCATAATTTATTTATTATTTGGATTGAGATAAGTTAGGGAAAGTCAACTCTACGATGGTGTTTTAGCATGAATAGAGTGATGATCATAAGCAGTGTTATTACTATGCCATATATGTGTATATGCGCAATAGTAGGAAAAATATTAGACTTTTGATATAGAAGTGAAACTAATTGGATAACATCACTGATTAAACTTCAGTAAGTGCTCTCTCAAGGAAAAAGAAAAGTAAATTACCACTGAATTTATTCATTGTCATTTTATTAATGCTGCAATAAGTGATTTTTTCAGATGCTTATAAATTATTAGTTAGAATAATTTCTCAGCTAGTCCATACCCTTTTGTTAAAAAGGGTACTAAAGAAAGATCAGCTGAGATTCATTCTTTGCATTCCTGTTCAGTAGGTCTTGAATAGTTTTCTCCATGGATTGATTGGGGTGGAGAAATGTAATTAAGTGCCTTATTCAAAATCATGTGTGCGGGGGAAAGTTAAGCTTGGATTTGTACTGTGGGATCCTTGTGGTTCAGATTTTTTTTTTTTTTTTAAGCTCTATGCACAAGATTATGCAGCTTCTTTATTTGGCTCTGTTTGTTTGGACTCCACAGTGGTTCGATAAGAAGCATTAACGTGTGAAGGTAAAGCAAGATCAATTTATGCACATAGCCCTTTCTATTTATTCTGCATGCTCTCATATATTGCAGTTATCAACCGAAAAGCATTATGCACTTCACTAATTGGGTTTTTACTTAGGATCATTTGTGTTGTATCAACATAGGAAGGCCTAGCTATGGAGTCCATTATGCGAGATACTATACCAACGGTAATGGCTCAGGCAACCTTTTGGACTTAAGCAGTCAAATAAGTGATCCTGGGAGTGAAGTTGTCAGCTCCTTGCAAATGAGACCTAGTTATGTCTGCTACTCTCCATCTTTAAGATTGACTTTTGTGCCTAGTAGCTGGTTTCACGTGAAATCACCAAGACAGAAGCAGCTAACTTTCCAATTCACTTTTGAAAAAAGCTATTGAGTGGCCTTTAAATGCTACCCACATCTTCCTCTAATGCACATGTTATGAGAGAACTAATGCTCAGAACTCATCCGCTCACCTACAAAATCAGTGCCTGCAGTGGCACCTACAATGGTCTCACTGGCTAAAATCACTTGCATTTTGATTTTCCTGTAGAATTTTACCACTTCTAATGTATAAATGGTTATTTATTATTTTAATTAAAACTATCAATTGAAACTCTTTTAGACATTGACAAGTAAGATATAAGGAAGTAGAAACAATCTACTGTAATAAATTGCTTGAAAAGCCCAATTCAAACTTACCTTCAAAACCACTTCCTGTGTTTATTTTGCATACTTAATTAGGAAAAGAAGTACTCTAAAGTACTTCAGTACTCTGGTGCATAATTCTGACATACTAGCAACATATAACAACATAACTGTCTATTCAACGTTTTTTACTTGTTTTTCTCAAGAGAAGAGAGAACAAAAGTGAGATGAAAATTTGATCCTGTTATGTTACTCTGTAGGAGAGGAAGAGTATTGGATTTTTTTTTAAAGCAAGCTTATGTTGTTGAAACCCAATTCATCACACCAAATTCAAACACTTGTCAGAAAGGATGGCTTTTACATGTTTATATCTGGGAAGCACTGAAGCCATTGATTTTTAAAATTAGGGGTCCTATCTTTTCTGATGCATGCTTGAAAGGATACCTACCAATATTACTGAAACTTCCTACTCTCAATTTAAGTAGAGAATGAGTTGAAATAAAATAATCATGTTATTTATTTTTAGAAAATTCGGTGTTGGATCTGTGCACATCTGCAGGAATAATCTCTCTCAGATTTACAAGAGTCTAATTTACCACTTAGTTTGAGAAAAATCTCAGTATATTAAGTGTTCGGTGAAGACAAGGAAAGGACAGGGAAGGAAATTTTCTTATATTTATGACTGAGATCTCTAGAAGATTGAGTAGAATTGTCATATAATCCATGCCTATGAACCAGAAAAAGACTGTTTTACATATGAGGCCTGCATTTTATATAACTTTAGCCTGCAGTGCCCCGATTCAGGACACAATTTTGGCTCGGGAGGCAGTCTATCACAAGCAATAAGCGCTGTTACAGCAGTACCATGGCAGAGCCAAGAAAGCAAGTTCCTGCAATGCCTAGGCATCACCATCTGAGGACCAGCAGCTGGGCATGGCAAGAGAAATGCAGGGGAACTCCCGTCCATACCCACCTCCAGCCGAATGTCCATCCGCCTTTTTGGCCCAAAAGCTCCTGTCAGAGACAACTGAAGCCTTCTGTTGCTTTGCTGTCATGTTTTGAGGCTATACAGCATATTCTGCCAAAGCTACAGCTGAAAACAGCCCATGTTCTGTCTCAGAAGGTGGGTTAAGGATAAAGTATAAGCCTGATTCAAGGCCTGTTGGATTCGAAGGAGAGCCCCAGCAACTCTGATGGCCTTTCCTCAGGCCCATTCTCCTAATCATTGTTTGTGAATATTTTTATCAGAAGAGATAATAGAAATGTAATGTAATTTTATTTTGAAAGACTAGTCTCTCTGGCACACCCAGATCCCTTGCTTTTCTGTTCAAAGTTACTAAACATTCATCCAAACCCTGAATACAGAAACCCCTGAACACAGAAATAGAATAAAGCTTAGTTTTAAAATTGAAGTGTTTGTCTTGGGTACAATGTATCATTTTTCTAAAGGCAGGAAAATCAGATTTTTTCCTTATGATTATGCTCATCACTTCCAGTTCGTTTTGTTTAACAAGCTGTCATGGATTTAGTGAATAAGGTTGTGTCAATAGCAGTTCCTCTATTTAAAGAGAAGTTGCAATTCTTCTAATATAGAGAAGAGGTTTTATTTTTACTGTGGCTACTTCACAAGTACCTCAAAAAAAAATTCCCTGGCAAAAATAGATACCAAGTGAGCACATGCCCTCCTTACGAGGACTTCAGATCTCTATATAGATTTTTAAAATAACATTACACAATTTAGAAATAGAATTTTACTGCCTCATACACTTACCTAATTCTTAAAAAAAATTAGATTTTTTTAAATTCTGCTTTTAAAAAAAAATAAAAGAAGAAATTGCTGTCATAGAGTCTTTATAGTAGGATCCATAGCTAAGGCTCCAATCTTTGTAAATAATGCATAAACTTGTTTTGCCTCATATCTTCTACATTTAGGACATTTTTTTCTCCCTACAATTACAATCACGTGTTCTCTGTAACTAGAGTAACTTCTTAAAAAGAAAAAAATATATATATTAAGCTTTATTACAGTAGTAACAGTATACATAGAGAATACATCTATAGACTTATCCACTCACTAACTTTTTAAATAAAAATGAAAAAATTCAATGCCTAAAATAGTCTTCATTAGTATTTGTCCCAATATAGAAGTTGATACATAAAAACAGACCTGAAAACATGACTGAAGTGTTACAAGGAAGTGCTAAGGTATCAGAAAAAAAATAATTAAAAAAAATTACTTGGGCTATTTACAGAGAAATGTTCTCATCAGTAGGCTAGTGATTTAGTAATTTGATTCTTTCTACAGAGTTGTAAAGGGGGGCAGTTGCTCTTGTCTCTTTAGGACGCTTTTCAGCTGCTCAGAAGAAAGTCCCTTCCCTCACCCTGAGAGACTAGGAGCTCTATATTACAGGCATTTTCTCCCAGTAACATGTCTTTTAAATGCCAGAACCATGGGTTTCCACACATATCTCAGGGCTGTAAACGCAGTAACTGTCAAGGGTTTCCTGGTAACCACTAGATTCTTCATTATGGTTTCAGTTCGATAATTTAAGATCATGTTCAGAAGCTTTCTATAGAAGATCAGGCACAATTACCTGAGGAGCTTGGCCTGAGATTAACATCTAGCCACTAATAGAAACCATTAACCCAGATCTGAGAAGATGAGGTAAACTCTTCAGTTTGTAGTGGAAGCAAAGCCAGTAACAGGTCACATTTACAATATCTCTTGGGTAGCTTTCCTCTCTCAATCAGTTTTGAGAAATGAAATGATACCTGAGAGAAAAGACTCATATTTACATGATATTATGCTTGCCAAATCACAGATTTGCAAACTAGTTATTTGGTTGAAAGGTAGAAAAAAAAAATGTATTGAATAAACCACACCAGAGAGTTTTGCTACTCTCAGGTGCACCACACTTTTATTTATTTATTACCCAAATCAGCCAATGAATACAGCAAGAGTTAACAGATCTGAACTAGTGCAAATATGTGGCGTAGTTATATGCTGAACCCATCAGAAAACTTAACTATTTCCTTCAAAATAACTTTTTCTTTAATTAAAGTGTTTGAAGTGAGGAAACTTCATATCAGTGGTTTACTTTATTACTAACAAACTGGAAAATTCCAGTTTATTTGAACAGGAATCAGCAGTGCCTGACAAAGATTCAAAGTAATTTGAAAGTGAAGAGAATTTCCCTAGCATATCATGGCCCTTTCCTTACCCTAGTCAGTTCCAGCTGTAACGGGCTTTTATTAATATCAGTTTCAGAAGAGCCCAGACATGAGAATCATACATCAAGCCACAGGTACTTAAGTAACATACACCTCTCTTTCCAAGAAATGTCTGAAGGAAGTTAACAAAACTAGAAAAAAACAAAATATTATTTGCCATTCTTACAGCTACGTAAGAGCTGAACGTGGCATGAATTAGCATGTACTTAAAAAAGTAAATCATGATAAGACTAGAATGCTTGACAGTGGAATTCTACTTAAGATAAGACAGTTTAGGCATTGAGCAATATATTTGTCAAAGAAAAAAACAGACTAAAGTCAATGAAAGTTATTTATAAATTCATGTTGTATTAGGTAAATAACAGGAGAAAGTGAAAAATTAAAGTATTTTATTTTGATACTCTTAAGAGGTCTTTCAAATATCTAAAAAATTTACACTAGTTTGAAGTAAAAAAAAAAACAAAGAAATGTAAGAAAAACATTTTCAAAATAAATGCCATATACATTAAGTTATTTAGGTGAATAAATCTAAGTTTTTTCGCTCTGCTTAGTTAAGCTATCAAATTTTTTATTTGTAGATTTTTCCGGCTAGCAATTTACAATATCAGTTCTTCATACAGCTTTAGACCTCCTTTTTTCCATGTGCAGTTTTTAGACCTGGAGTTACTTCATTACTTCTCTTATATTAAATGGTTCCACAAATACCAGTATGAACAAATCCTGGGGTCCTCTGACTCACATGCTATGTTTCCACGTGCAACTCCCATCACTTGCACTCGGTTATTCTCACCTTAACATATAGGATTTCTACCCAACTTCATCTTCTCCTCCTTCCCCTAATAATATCTTCCCCCTCAGTGTTCACAAAATACCAGCTGGAAAGGCACAGGTTGGCAGCTAGTCCTGAGGGATGGGCTTGCTGACTCTGGCCTGCCAGCTGGGCAACCAGTGTGCATGAATAGACTACATAGTTGTTAAGCCTAGGATAAAAGTTTCATCTTGGTAAGGGTACCAATCTCCCAGTTCTCCTGTACTCCTGATTTTCTCTCTTGGAGATAAACATTCCTCCCCTTGTCCTCATCTCCTTTATGAAGCAATTTCACAAAAACATTACACAAAAAATTAG